TCTCATTTTATATTGTAGCATTTTATTATACATTTTACATGATACAGTAATTGTTATACATCCAACCATCCATGGCTAATAAGACGTAGCTCCACGTGAGAATAAGTATGAGTTAACTCGTGTATTAAGTTTGCGTATTTCCTAAGTCGCTCAATGTCTCATAACAATGTCTTCGGAATATGTCGCTTTAGATACTGCCATGAGAATAAAATCTACTCTCCGTCGATAGGGCTATTGGTATTAATTCTCCTCATCGCATTTGGTAAGTCTTTGATGTGTTAAATAGTTCCGAATGTGATATACCAGTAAATTTTACTGGTTTCCTAACACATCAATCGATTTCTGAGTGCACTGGTTGGTGAGGCACACTATATATATATATATACCATCCAAAACACGTTTGTTGCGGTTAGTAGCATTTAACCCATTTGCAAATCACCTGCTCTTAGTAATGATTCATCATAGGACTGATTTTGCAAAAGCTGTCCAAACCAATTTACCCGTTATTGCAAATATGGTTACTGTGACGAAAATACACTTTTTGGGCGCAGCTATATGAACAAAAAGACAAAAGACTACCGGATACGCCTGCCAGGAATCGCAAAACCGGTCGTGTGTTTTCAAACAGATTTTGTCCGGTCATTCATATGACACGTATTGTAAAAGATATATATATTTGATTTCATTATTTACCGCTCTGTTCGAAGTACATTTCATGTTTGATTAAGTGGATCGAAACACTCGGTGTAATCCGGACACATCCAAACTGTTACCGATGGAACCCAGTAAATCATCACCAACTCGTCTGCACAGCTTGAATTGTTTGATGGTTGCGTCAGGGTATTTTATCTGGAACTCGGTCAGAAAAAAATGTACATATATTAACAAAGTGCAAACACGTATTCAGATGAGATATGTTGTAATGTGGATGTTTGCACAAACCTGTCATTTCGTGTCAAACCACCGTTGGCTGGTATCAGGAAATTAATACATGCTAAATTTCGTCATATTCACCTTTTTTCTCTCAGCTCCTCACCCNCTCCGCACCCCGCAAGCTCCTTTTGGCTAATCACGAGAATGCGTTTCCGGTGCTCAAAATCACTTGCGCAATCTTCTTTTATTCGATGTCATTCAGATAGCGAACAAATAAACACAAAACACAGTCGGCAATATTTTGCAATCTTTCAAATGTATTCGGATGAGTGTAGCGTTTTCAGTAGGACATCAATTGCGTTCACTAACCAGATTATGAATAGAAGCAGACAGGGAATTTTTGGTCTACAAGTGATGTACTTATTGGAAAGCCTTTCCAACTTCGATAGGTCCGCTAGGTGCATTTTCGGCGATGTCCTCGATCCGCGCATTTTTCAATGCTCTTGACAGAGAGAGAGAGAACCGTTGCGTCACCATAACCACTAATGGCAACAATTTCCAGCATAAATTGGTAGCCAAATGAATCAAAAGAGCGATGTTTTTACGAAGATGGGTCGGGATGCGGGGTTGGCGGATGTTGTTTGGATGTTTTCCTTGAGTTTCTCTGATTTTACCTATCGATTACATAATCAATCAGATTTGCTTGTATAAATACCGGATTTCTTTACGTTCTGGTGACTGAGGAGATTTTAGAAAATATTAACATCTCGCACTATTGGTCTTCTCTCTGTTCTACGTAATTCGACAAAGGGGCTCAATGTGTCAGGTTTCGAATGGAAGCTATCGGAATATTTGGCAGGGCGGTGGTGGTGGCGCGGTGATAACATCACCAAATTATTCACCAAGGAGATGTTGGTTCGAATCCCACCACCACCGCCTGACTTTCCCCATTCTGTGTGTTGAATGGCAGTCCTTCCTTCGATTGGCCGCTTCCCCCTTTCTGAAAATCGTATCATTGTATATTCAATAAAAATAACTAAAATAAAACGATGAGATAAGAAATGGCGATCTTAAAAGTTCGCGCGCACACTCTTTGTCACTGGTAACTGTACATTCTTTTTTCTTTCTATCTCACAGAAACAATTGGAACTCATTCAACTGCCACCGTNAACTGGATCCAAACCAACTACATTTGATTCGTCAGGCCTGTAATCGACAACGTCTGATCGGGATCGAGTTGAGCCTACGATTTGGTCTCCATGCCTCAATCGAAAATCAAACATCATCGGTGCAGCTTGAAGAATCGATTGAGGCAAATTCGACGGACGTAGCTACCTCAGACTTATCCGGCAAGTTATCAAACGATATGGTTGAACAAACATCTAAGCCGCTCAGTATGATGGATCAAATCTATGCCCATATTGAACAAATAGATAGTCAATTCGGATCCATCAGTGATCATATCCAAACCGTGTCCAGGGATAAAACAGCTTATCCGGCTGTTGTGGAAGTTGTTCCACTCTCGTCAACTGCACCTGCCCAGATTGACAAATCCCATTGTCCGAAACAGGATCACTACAATTTGGGATTACTTAGTGTCAAACTGGACACGATACAGGCGGCAGATTTGATTCGGACTTTGAAAGAGAAATGGACCACGCTGCGTTCGGCCGCGAACCAGTTAGCCCACCAAACGGCTGAGCACGCGCATCAACTGTTAATCCTTCAAAATTTAGTTGATCTCAGTCTGACCGTCAAAGAGGCGGGTAGTTGGTTAACACAGATCTATCAGGACTTGGAATTGTCCACTGTGGAACAACGATGTGATCAATGGTTTTGTGCTCCACCGTCCGAAGACATTCAGTCGGATCGACAAGTAGAGCAGAAGTTGATTACAAACGGTTTGGGATTATCATTTGAGCATCAGATGCAATTCACCACGGAAATTCGCAAACTCGATCACGTAAGTGCGTGTGTGCGTGTGTGGGGGTGGGTGGGTGTGTTGTAAAAAATCCGTAAACGAGGATTATGCATTCAGTTGTTGTTATTTGACGGGGATTAGAGAGATAGATGAGGTGAGGATTTCAAATCCGAAAAGAATGTTGCAAACGGGAACAGTTGAGTTGACCGTTTTGTTTGACTCGTTACAGCCCCAAAAAGTGATCTCAGTTTTCACTGAATAACGGTTCGTTCATGAGCCATGTTGTTTCATTTATTTGGACGGATAGATTCAATCTTCCAGGAATCTGTATTTGCTAAATGATGGGTACGGCAAGAAATCGTAGCCGGGGCCAACCCCTTTCCCTGCATTCCCCTGCGACACACAGCCAACAAAAATTCAAAGTTCAAATAAATCAATTGAAAATTGTTCTGGATCAATGGATTCGTTTACTGCGAGGGATGAGACCCAATCGAGTCGAAACAGAAGCCCAGTTCTTCCGGGCATTTTAGTTTACGCTTCATTTACCATATACACGACAAATTCGTCTTTAAAATAGAATCAAATCGTCCATTACTCACTCACATGTGACAAGTAGTCAGGTTATGAATATTTCCAACCGAGTCATAACCCCGGCAAATGATGTTTGCCAAGGAAGTTATGAGTTTGAAAAACCCAAGAGTGGTCAAGTTAAGATTTGAGGGTATGGAAACCCTAACAATGGGACTGGGTCAAGTAGGTCCCGTTAAGCTCCTTGCACGGGGACCTCCGGATGATCGTAACCGATAGTTAGAGACACTGAGTGTCGTAAACATTAGCGTTTGTGCATCTTGTCAATTTCTCTGCTACATTAGTCCACTGAAATTCTAAGTTTCCTCTTTAATCCTACTTTCCCCCTTTCTATCTTTCATCCACATGAGCAGTCAGAGGACGCTAACCATAACCGGTGCACGGGAGTGCATGTTTAATTTTTGTACAAACTGAACTGAAAACATAACCCCAGAGGTTTGTGCTGAGATGAGTGCGGTTTGTGACCCGCAAAAATCTGGCAGAGATGGGTTGTGCCATAATAAGAAAATGAAAAAATGCGATCTGGTCAGCTGCCCGGTAGCCGAGTCGGTAGCATGATTGCGTTCTACCTGTGAGATCCCGGGTTCGATTTCCAGTTGGATCAATGGATTTGCTGACTGCGCTGACGAGATCCAACCTGATCGGAATACCTGTTCAGTCTTTCCTACCTTTCAGGTTTCGCTTCATTTGCGCTATAAAGGACGATTTCCCCCTTTGAAAATTGTTCTGTCTCTGTTTCACTCTGCGATATATGACTCATCGGATGAACCAGAGTAAGACAGTTGTGAATGGTTTTGAAATGCACGCATGTAAAATGAATATTCACGAAGACGGAAACAAGATAGTCAAATGAATACCATTTAATTCAAAGAAAAAGATGATGAGATTTATTGGGCCGTGATCGGGAGATTGGATAATATCAAAAAGTCAAATCTGCGGCCCTTGGGTTTTCTAGTTGCTGGAAAATACCACGCCGGAAGGGATTTACGAGACCACAAAACGTATCGGTTGGGATTAGAGCTCTCACGTAGACAGAAAGCGATTTGCGCATTATTATTTATACATTCTTATTAGGGTGAAAAGAAACACACTACTGCCAGATTGTCTGCTAGATCACCCAGCTCCCACCCCCCGCCGACCACTTCCGTAATCTCGCACTCTAGCTCCCTCTCGTTCTATTGTCATTTGTACGAACGGAATCTTACATCTTAAGTACCAGAGGTTTCAGTATTTCACAAATTATCCGCCCAATAGGGTGGTCGGTGTGAAATCCAATTTGTGTAAAATGTAACGCAGACAGGCAGGCAGTGTTGCTCACTCGAGATTGTTGGTTTTCAAGCTTTTGTATGCAAATTGCGGGATTATGCTGGTTTCGATGACACTTCCTTTTTTCCGTCTCGCCTCGCTTCTTATCTGTGGCTGTGATATCAATTTCAGACCAGTATTCGATGTTCGCATCTATTTCTAAACGTCGAAATGGGTCTGATTTTAGTCTGAGTAGATAATTCAAGTGCGCTTCATGTTACTGAAAAGCAAAATTTGTATGCGTGCGTGCGTGCGTGCTTACTGTCTGTTTCCACTTATCCAGATCGTGCTCAATGAACCTCAGTAGTTAAGAGATTAACTGAGTTGTACGCGGTTCTCTGAAAATTGTTCAGCACTGAAAAGTTGTAGGATAGAAAATATTTGTCAAACCTTGGTGGAATTGTAAGCAAACCCAATGGA